GAGATAACTAACAGTTAGCCAAAGGCTAATTAAATAACAAATAAATAATAAATAGTAATAATAAACAAAAAGGCTTTAGAACAGGACTGACCGTACAGAGTTGGTTACTTACAAAGCTGTAAGCTGTCCCGTCAGTAAGCAACGTGCAATAATAACAAATGTTCCATTGTACGGCTGTTGTTTAATCCTTTACATAAACAAAGCACATATAAGCAAGCGGGAAACCAACGTTTTTACAGTTTTTACATTCGTTTAACTGTAGTTGGTCCTCGCTCGTTCCTTTTGTTAGCTACCCTGAAACCTATCTTGCAGCTTGGTCTCAGACAGTCAGCATATGTTATCTTTCACAGGCGCAATGGAGAGTAAGAACAGCAGTGTATTTTCGTATGCATAATTCATCTTTACTATAACGTGCATTTTACAAGGCAAAATGATTTGTGCGATGGATGGATGGATGGATGGATGGATGGATGACTTCGGGTGTTACGTCTGGCTCAATACTGACTTAAACCTATATACCACGACTAACAAAAAATGCATTATAAAAGGAATCGCATCAGGCAATATAAGAACCATAGCATTGATGCTTGACTAAATGCCAAGTTTTTTTTTTATAGCTACTGAATTTAGTTATGGCTTCAGTTGGTCCACCTTCGATGTATCTAAAAAATGGCCCAATGCGAAAGCAGTTCGCAAACTTTAGCCGCAAAATCGATCTTCGTTCTTGAATATTAGAAACGAGAGTTGGATGACCGTTGATCTGGTTGGATTGTAGTTTCTTGATAAAGGGCCGTTATTACACTATAATGTTGTCACCTACGTTGAGCTTACCTTTTGACTAATCACTCTGTTCCTACTGTTGACCTACTGCAACAAAGTATAGTTTTCAACTAATCCGCATGTAATAGCTACTGAGCGATAGTAGCGTCTTTATTTACGTAACTTTCATATAGCGTGCGTAAATATGTTGTCGTAAGTTCTAGCCAGTAGCAATGTCGTCTAAGAGACGAACCATTATAACGTACCAGCAAATGCAAGGTTAGCAAATTTAAATTTTACTCTAGATCTTAATAGAAAATTGTATTTTTGTGAAACTTTTTAGTGCTGTGAAAGTATGGTAATTACGGCATTTATTTCAGAGTCAAACGCTTGTTCATAACAAATTCTCAAAATCTCAATAGCAATGCAATGTCCTTCAGAGTCAGTCATATGGCGACCGGCAGTCTTTCATAAGGCTTTGTACAACGGTTAATTGAATGCGCGATAGCACTGACCCGTAACAGCTGCGTCTAGATTTATCTACGGTTGTTTTTTTAAGCGATAGCATCACGTTGAGGTATTAGAGCTTACAAGTTATACGTATTTTTTTAGGAGCATAGCTAATTTTAATGTCGCAATGACAGTCGTCATATAGACTGCGTAGCGCATAGGTCGGATCTATAGATTTCGCTAGAGGTAATCGTTGTTAATCTAAGGCCGCTGTGTATTGAATGCGCAACACAGTCAAATATATATGAAAACTAACTAAGAAATTTATCAAAATGCAGTATGTATCATCCCTTTTCCTTAACTGCAATAGGGACTAACTAGAACGAGATGCTCCTATACAGTTCCCTTAAAGTCTTGGGTCTTCGTTAGTAGACCTTAAACTACAGGTTTTAAGTTCTAAAGAGAAAGAAACGATCGTTCAAGTTTATACCTAGGGATAACTGTAAGTAAATGCGTCAGATGAGAACCAGTGTAGGTCTATTTCATATGAAAACGACTCGTAAAGGTGTGAGGGTTCCATTAGTCATCTAACACTCTTTGTTCTAACAAAGAATGTCAACTAGATCTTGAGTTAGGCATAAGCTGGGCTAGTGGCGCATTGCTATCTCAACGGCTTCTTAATATACGGCCAGAATATAAAATATACTCCATCAGCATTTTAGATAGGAAATACTCCCGCCCAGTAGAGTGTATACTCCAACCTAGCATTAAAATTGTCCCGTCTGTGACCTACAAACTGTATGTTCTCGTTTATTTGAATACAATCCACGGGGATATGGACAGGGACTTAAGGCCCAGTGCTTAAAAGAGAGCTGGAGATCTAGCGAAGTTGGCTGAAGTAGGTCTCTAATGTTCGATGGAAGAATGTAAAGCTTTACCAAAACCTATTTCTCAAAACTTCGTTATTATGAGAAACATATAGTTTTTACACTAAAATCATTAATTTACATTTCATCAAAAAATCAAATGTTCACTATATCTTCGTGTATTAGACAAGTATTCAAATCCTTTTTTAATTATCGGATCGATTTTTTATGGTGTTGGCTACGTAAAAGATTATTGCAAGAATCTGCCTCTTGCTAGGTTCTAACTATGAATCCAACGATATTCACAATCACGTCACTGACAATGAACGAGGAGAATGTATAGGTTGTTTTAACATACTGTACCTGTTAACGAATGCCGTTCTCTTTATCAAAGGCCTTCGGTTAGTCTTCGAGATGTTCCGAAGGATACAGTTCGTGTATGACTGCCAAAAAACAGAGTAAAAAGCGACTGCATAGCTTCGAAAGCTCATTATGCTTGGCCTAATACTGCCCACATTTCAAATCTCTTTCAGCAGCCAGATGCTGCTCATCGTGAGAGTGCCTACTCGATAAAAATAGCTGCTTATGTGGGCCATGCTGCACATGTGATATCCTCAAGGGAGCGAGCCACTAGTTCTAATCGTCAGTTATCGTAGTTTCTGATGCGAGTATGAGTTACTTCGTCAGATTGATTCAAACAGAGTACGTCGCAAATACCAAGACTAACACTGAGTATGTCACGGACAGATTTGCAAACAGCACGGAAGTGGGGCAATAGTGAGGCGGTTTACCCTTTCAAGTAGTCCTAACCGACAGATAAACTGAATCTTACTCGCAACTCGATTATAGTTAATGCTACCAGAAAGAGACTTATTGTTTACATTTTGGAGATGACGTGGTTTCTCTACTTAGCAGTGCATATAATCATTCTCACGTAAAGTTTGTCGCAACGTACGGAAGGCACCATAATCACCAGTGTTTTGCTGCCGTTCGTGGGTTTCACCGTTTAAATGAATATACAATTACTTCATATTTATAGTCTAAATGTGTCCTGAGTCCTGATATCGCTCACTTGTGAGCTTCTGCCCGTTCGTGCCCAGACATGAACAGAACCCAACATTGTTACCCACGTGTACGTTCTGACCATGCTAGAGCGTGTTTAGAACATTATATTTATTTATTAATGCAATTACTGTGTAGCAGTACAACTGTGAAAAGATGTTCCGTGCAATTCCTTTTAAAATGTGTGCACTGGTTCAATTAGTAAACGTTGTTTTTAGTTTTAAACGTCTTCTGCGTAGACGGTCCTAGGAGTTCAGCCTTTCTACATAGCTTGCGCCTCCCTCACGAAGTGTACTTCCCAGATAAGATCTATGCGGCCTTATTATACTTAGTTTTTAGCATAGTAATGCCCTATCTAGAACGATCGGTCAGAAAAATTGACCACACACGACGCTTGGATTTCGTTTGTGGCACAAGCTTATCCGTGCCGGCACGAATGATGTACTGCAATTTTTGTTTCGTAGATAGTTAGCGAAAGCAGTAAACGATAAACTAAAACAAAAACGAATAAGACTCTTGGAAGTATCCATGCATCACATATACGTCATAGGAATCCGTATGAGATGTGGATACATGTACGGTTTCAAGATGAAATTCAGTGTTACTGCAAGAAGAAGTAGAGGGACGCTGCGGCAAGATACTATCATATGAAGACGATACTGTTAAAAAAAAAGTATTAGACAAACCAATGGTACAATATAGAGAAGAAATGCTGTGAGGTAAGTGTCTGCATTGTTTTAATAAGGTTACCCAGAAAGAAGAACAGTCGCCACAGACTAGACGAAACATGGAGCTTTTAGGATCAAATTGTTATTACTGGTAAATATGGCAAACTACGGTATCTCATTAATCACAAGTTAATATTTTTCTTATAGAGTCGTATCTTCTTTGTGTATGAATTCCCTCTGAATTATGAAGCACAAACGTCAAGCTAATTATCAAAATATTTCCCTACACTGTGTTTATTAGCATGTTTGGTAGTCACCTCAGTCATAGAAAACTTTCGGTGAATCATCTATGACCGTCTAATTGCCCGCTCATATTGATTAAGCGCTATCTTATGCGATCCAAATTTGCACTCAGATATCTTCAACCTGCGTACGACCTGCTAATCCGGATGAGCAGCAACTGCGTGAGGAAAACTTCTTTAACCTTAAGTCGGTGGAGTCATTATACAATGATTATACCGAACTTCTTTTAGTTCAAAGTCGAATCGTAGACCTCGCTAAGCGTCGCATATACATTCGCATACTGCGACCAAGTGTAATTATTAAGTGACCTTGCAAGGAAATGGATTATAAAGAACTCAAGTTACCTAAGGAAGCTATCAAAGGTCACAGTTAGCAGGTCTATCCGCCTTCATGAAACCATTGTTCAGCCAACACGTTGCCAATGCGTGCTTAACCGTTAAAGATGGCCTTTTGTTTAAAAAAACGACAGTAACAGCCGACCCAAAAATTACGTTTTTATTTGTTCTGCTTCACAAATGCTATCACTATGTGATCTGCCATGTGAAACCCGCTGATGCCCACACTTGAAGCTATGGTAAGCTAAGCTATTGCCGAGCAATAGGAAGCCATCCATTTAAGAATTAAAGTACTTCCTGAAGACTGTAAACCATTAATAGGTTAGCAAAGGAATCGCGTTACTTGGCCTAGGCAGACGGTGCTCGAATAGCAGAGCAGCGTGTGGTAGACGATAGATCACTATTGTCTATCATACATTGCTCTAGCGTTCGCTTACCGTTTCTCTGAGCAAATACACAAGTATTACTTTAACGTATATTAGGGTGGAATATGTATTTATTGTCTGTTCCTGATAATTGTTATTAACCCAATCCAAACAGTTAACCGTAACACTTACGCTTCTGTGGGAGGCTCTAGAAACCGTCGCTGTCGAACAATTTTTTCGCGTTGACATAAAACGAGTAAACCCTGGACCAGCCCAAGCACGAATATAGCACACCAATTTGCAAGCATATTCCACCGTGTCACGTTCATAATTGTGCGAAAGAACAGGCACTCGTCTGCTTCGTGTTGCTTTATGTATTCCGCTGCATGTACACGATGACACCTTATCGAACCACAAACTACTCACAAATTATTTCTTTGCACATTTTGGCATGACATGTGCGCCCTCTACTGACAATGCCAGTGTTTTATCTCATTTTGCCACTTTTACGAGATTTTCTTTTTCCAAACAGTTTTGCTCGTTCGATTGATACGAAGCCGGAGCTACAAGTCAAATTTCATTATTGTCCCTAGCTCAACAGTCACGTTTCTACGTCGTACCGCTAGGACATGTGACATATTTTTGTCGGTTTTTCAGTTCATGCATATATGATTTTTTTCAGCGCCGCCCTGCTTACCGCCTGCAAAGGCTCTGCATCTGTATGGTCGAACATCTTCACTCGTTTGACGTCTGTTAGTTCTGTCACTGAATCTTTAATGGAATTTCTTAACCTTTTATACGGCTGTTAGTATCATTTCTGCTATCCAGACAAAATCTGCTATGGTACGAGATTGTGGCAGAAGCAGGCGTTGCTATTAAACCTGTTGGGTAACTGTCGTGCTTTATTATCGTTCAGCTGCGACAGCCCCCCACTCACACTCCATCGTGTTGATGATCTACTTTCATCTCGCACGATTGCTACGATTTCTGTTGTAATAGAGAAGGATACTTTCTTAGCTTTTACTTCAGTTCTAATCTCATTAGTTTCGTGGGCCGCCTCGCTATCTGCGAGCGAACACTTGGGCTCAGTTCATTTATTCCTTTGCAGTTTGCTCTTGTTGTGTTCGTTCGTTAGTTCAGATCTGTTTCTCGATCGCCTGCCTGTCATGGCTCTCGATTTGGCCTGCCTTTTGCTTGTTTCTCCAGTTTCGACTGTTACTTGCTTCTACTAGTAAACATATGAGTGTCCGACAGTTCCCGGATCTACTTCCGCTTTTTTGCCATAGCCATACCACCTCCGACGTGATGAACGTTTCGATGTCTTGTGCTCTTATAGTCGTTCCTATTGATGCGGCTGTAATTTCACAGCAAGTTCACCGAAGCCGCGTGAGGTTTAGGCTAATCCATCAAAATTACAGACATTTTGTCCACGAATCAATGCTAGACATGGAGCGTATTTCGTGGTCGTTGTCCTACCCTAAATGGACAAGGGACAGTGCTCATAGAGACCACGTTGCAACCACAGCTGGATCCTTGGCCGGCTGGTAGAAAGACTACATTGATCTCGTTTGTTGTTCTTCAGACAATTTTTTTTACTGCGGTAACTACGAGTGCTTCGAGATACTGTCGAGTACTGATACTGATTTAGTGGCCTGCCTATAAAATTGAGCCACAGTATCTTTTTTTGGTGCTCTATAATTCTCGTTTTCCCTTGAAACAAAGCCTTGTCTTCGTTCAATAGGAAATACAGAACGGATATCGAAACAACACAATATCATTCCTAGCAGCTACCCCAAGCCTGCTATGCAACTAAGTACAGTTGTGTAGGTTGTATGGTACAATTATCCTTTTCTTTTTTTACCTCGCTCCATCAATTTAACCACGTACTCTCTTTGCTGCATTAAACTTTGTTGAAAAGGTATTTTCTATATGGTTCCAATAAAAAATAAATCATCTCTATGATAAAAGGAGAATGACACAATGCTGGTTACATGCTTGCGATGCCGAGCGCGCGCGTTTCATATATATATATATATATATATATATATATATATATCATGGCTTCCGTAAGAGCTCCAAAGAAAGAAAGATGTTTCAAAATGACTTTCAAGCCAGAAGTTATGAAACGCTCGAAGTTGAGACTCGGCATAAAAAGAAAAAATGGAAAAACATAGATAACGAATTTGGTACAAATCTGCCTTTGCCGGTACCTCAGTCAGCGAATAGTTCGAGTTCTTTAAAATTTTATAAGCATGCAGCGACTAACATCCAAAGAACAGTTGTAAGGTCCACATCCAAACGTGCCTATGTAACCATTAACAAACACAGAAGAACAAGTACGTTAAGCACTCAGCCCTACAATAGTCTAATTCCATCTTCATAATGAGACAACTCTGTCGAAAACAGTTGCCGCCGAGAAATTAATTTTGATTCCGCTGCAGCCGTGCTTCATTCTTCCCAAAAAAGCATTAATTGTAGGCAATAACGGTTTAGCAATGTCAGTATCCTGGTTGTGTGTACTAAACACGGCGTGATGATTGTACTACTTCCAGAACAATCGGCACTTAACTTTTGGAACTATCACATGTTCCATTGCACAATTATGAGGCAACAAAGAAGATGGCCGTACTCGTGCAACGCTGTCACAGGTCAAGATACTCCTGGTTGCTTTAGATAGCTCATAGACCTAGCAAAAAAGGTTCATGACATAAATTGAAAGCAACAGCACAGACACGACTTCCGCTCGATACAGATCTTCAGATATTGACGCAAAGCAAATAGAAACATGGCGATAAATGACTGAGAACGAAAATTAGGTATCCGGAAGGAGACGCTCGCATTAAAAATTGCGGGGCTTAGGTGAATCTCAGCTTGACGGAATGCCCTTTCTCGGTGCGCCTGTAAATTGTACACGCGATATAACTGATGTCCGGTCAGACGTACATTACTAAACAGCGCCGAACAACAAAAACCCAGCCTGATCTTGAAGCCATAGATCTTGGCCTTCAAGGTTGTCACGAACGGCAAGTGAAGTTGCTTCGCCTGGTTTGCCGGCCAGCTGTTGATTCTAAGGCTGAATTGGCTGACTCACAGCGCCTGCAGGTGGCTGGAGAGGGTAGAAACTCTGTCGTCTCTGAAACGGGAAAGGGACAAAGGTGAAGGCAAGTTTAGTATTTGCTTGCGCATTGCGAACAGGATACCGGTAAAAGCTGCGCAGTTTCGTTAAGGAACCGTGCCTGCGAGCCAACTAGCTGGGGCCTAGAAGAGCCTTAAACGCAAGGCGACGGGGTAGAGAAGCTGAGGCAATCTTTCTGCCGCAAATTCTATAGCGATAGCTACACGAATCTTTCAGTTGCAGATGTCGAAGACGACAGCGGCGAGGACTATTGCTACTGTTGTTTGTTGAAATTGCATATAGTCAGGCCAATAAGACAAAGAAAACAGGCAATTTGTATAATACCTACCCTCTTCGATGGTTCCCTTGTCCTCTTCCCGAAAACTACCTCGCTCTTATAAACTGCAACCCGAACGATGACATTCTAGCATAATATCTTGTATAGAACACTATCGCGGGCGAAACGCAAACGAGTTGCTAAAGAATTATAGGTTTAATAGTAGATGACGCTAGTGCCTTAGGTGTCCTAATTAGTACCATAAAAATTATTATAATTGCAGAAAATTAATTGAATTTTGCAAAATGGATGAGCCTATTCTCAAAATTACTACAATACGATTGCATGTTAGCGACAATACCGGTCATCTCTCTGTAATTGTAAGGTCGTCTTCGATTTTTGTGTGTTGATTAGATGCTACGTCGACTATTTCGATTGGCAAACCATCCAGACATCACCAACCAGACATCGGCCTAAGGCTTGGTTCAATCTGGGGCTAGAGACACACTACATGAGATACGATGGAGGCAATCATTATCGCTGGAGCCATTAGAAATAATCAGCCAGAACTAGTTCAATCTAAAACGTGAACGTAAAGAAGTGGTACCTTAACAAATGGTCTTAGGGGCTCTGTGGCATCTCAAGGTTCGTAGTCAACTTTGCTTTATCAAAACCGTAAATTGTCTTATAGCCTCGGAGAAACGCCGATTTTTACACAATATATTTGCGTTATTGTGAAACTAAGGTAACTATATACATCATTTATTATGGAAATGTGTCGGAAAAAGGTTATAAAGATTATTCATAGCATTGTGCTTTAGTAGCTGGACGAGTAAGCCTTCAAAAGCTTCCGGCTTGAGTAACACAGGACGATATGTGCCCTGCCGAACTTCAAGCATATGTGCTTGATATTAATAAATGAAATACATTTTAAAAGTACATTATCGTTTTTTTTTTTTTTTTTTTTTAGATTCATTAATGTAACAGCATCATCTGCACTAGTCGAAACCTTTCGAAGACGTGACATAAAAATTCATTCTTCTTTCTATCGCGCACAGTGGTCTATCGAGTCATCTATTCCTATCTTTGCACTAATCGCCTTATCACCTCTCCAGATAATCACATACTTGATATGTACACCCCGATAAATAGAACCATCATTGGAATATATATTGCGCCCCAAGTGACCGTTGTCCGAAATTGAATTATCGAGTGTAGTGATTGGTCTATCGAAACCTTAAACGCAGCCCAGTCGGAAGGCAAGTCCTATGGGGAAAAACATAGGAAAAAACCACAGGCCTACTGCACGCTGAGGTTCGATATATTCGAAAATAAATATTTCGGGTTTCACGTCCGGTATCGCTGTTAAGTATCGCTACCCGCGGCCGGCTTCTAACACAAAACGGAATGTGTTCGCATCCAATTTATGATCAAGATCGCCACGTGTTTCTAAGTTTTGTACGTATAGGCATTAACACTATTCTATCGTGAGGGCAAATTTGACATGATCTAACAGCAGGCAATCTAAACTATCGCGGCGGAAGGGCTGGCTGGGCAGGTAGCTAACTGCATTAATGCAAGCCCAAAACTGATTTTCGATACTCACACGGTAAGCAGATTTTAGGTTTTGTCAGTTTTCAAGTTTGAACTAATAGCTTTTTGTCAACTCGCTAAAACTACCTATATAGTAGAAAGGGTCACGAAGACGGCTACTCAAGCAGTACTTAGACGCCCCGACGGTATGGCTATATCCTTTATCGTAGCAGTGGAAGTTGAGAGGAACATTAGTTGGCTCTCTTCAGCACGGCTACTGCCAGGGCGTATGTTTGGGCCAAAGGAAGCCTACAGTTAGGACAGTACAGACATACGCGGGGAAAGTATTGCTTACTGGGTTTTTCAGGGGTGGCAAGTCATTGATAATACTATACGGGTCCACAGACCGGAAGGCTTAAGTTTCCATCGCGAGTTTTGGGTTCTGTCATACCATAGAATGACATAGAAAACGATCGCCCGTGAAAATTACTGACACATTCACCAGTTCAGATGATAGGGTAGGAAGGCAATTGTCCACAGCCACCTCCAATAGACTGATCATTTTAACACATCGAACTTTAGCTTTCCGTATTTAACCTTCAAAACTGTTTTTATCGGCGCGCCTACCCAAACACTTAACCACTTCTACATGTAATAAACATAACAGTGTATGATAAACATAACAGGAAGCTATATGTGCGACGAAATCAATAAATTTTTAAGTTTCTCTTTATAATTGAATTTCCGTAGACCCTACTCAAACCAATTACTCTCATTTTATCGCAAGGACACCTTCTTTGTAGCTAGTATTTAGCGTGCCAGAGCGTATATCGGTTGAACAGAGTTATAACAAATCGATCGACTTTCATCAGCAATCACCGACTAATAAATGTCATGTTTCTTAAAAAGCTTTACATTTTTGCGAAAACTCGAAGCACGATTTACCGTTTAGCTTGAAACAGATACTCATTTCTGTCTTTAGCTCTTTTGCACCTACATCTTTGTGCAATAAAATAAAATTTTAGATAGTACAAATATTAGGGGTCGCTAACATCATACGCATATGGAACCTTATAGCTTGTATGAATTAATTCACTTATATTTAACTTGCCCCCATATGATAACTAAAATCGTTAAACTTTACCGCCAGAAAAGTGAGAGGGGTAATTAAAAAGTAATATATAGATTTCTTAAAAAGGTTCTTCGAACTTCTACAAGTTGTTTGCATTATTTTGTCAATTCACCTGTAGTTGCTTGTGTAAAGTTCTTTATTCTTGTTCTTTGCTCATTGCCAAATGTGGACGGGGCTGTTTTTTGCTTTCCCCTTTGTTTTGCACAAATCGAACCTTTTCACCTGATTGTTGTGGTCTCGGTTTTTTCATACCTGTGCTTTTAAGGGTGGTACTGTGCTTTCAATTCATATAATTCAATAATACCATTCTCAAATGTTTGTTGATTTACAGTTATTCCACCTTTGTTTGGAGACTTGGGCGGCAAGGATCGACAACTCTGCCGTAGGCAAACGATAAAGGTTAGTAGTTCTAACAGTAGTTGTTTGTTATCACTTCGGATATGGTATATTTTCATAGCTTGTATATTGTTGGAGCTTTTTGCCTTTGGTTTACAAGGGTCGCTAATAACGGACGGAAGGCTGCCTAACTCTAGTTAGCTTAGCTTTATTGGATGCATCCCACTTTTTTTTTTTATTCTTATTAGTTCCTTTATTAACTTCGAAGTTACTGATGGGGACCCGCATTCTTAGTATTGTTGGTCATAGGTTCGAAAAGCTCTGACGTTACCGTATACAAAACATGACCCAGTGAGGTTTAGTATCACAAGCGAAGCATAATGCTATTACAAAAAGTATTCATCCTGTTAATGAAAAAGACATGCCCATGCGTAATATACTGCTTGATTGTTTCAGAGCTGTGAGGATCTGGATGATACACCTCATGGGCAGAACCGATGATATACGTATGCGATGAAGCAAAAGCTCAGCTTCACCTCTATAGAACCAATCGAGGTGTAGAAATATAAAGGGCCCTTTGATTCCTCAAGAATGGTGGCTCCAGTGGTGCCCACACGATCGCGTCGATACGGGTTTATCCGTGCTGGATTATCTCGTAAGAAAGAAGTCGAATCGCGCTTCTTGGATTATCTAGTGATCTTTTTTTACTGTAGGTATATTGAAGATCTCGTAAGTCAGGTTCAATATTACGGAACACTTTCGAGTGCCAGCCTTTGTCGCATTGTTAATTTCAGGCATATAGTTTTTCCATGAGCAATATGTCTCAAAGCGTATTCAGGCTACAATGCGATCAGGCTTTGCAGATCGAGCCCCAATATGCCTTGATGTTAATATTGTTTACCTGATATTGTTTATAAAAAGGACCTCTCTTGTGGGTGTACTTTTGCCTCTACTGCAGACTGGGATCTATTAAAACGTATGTTCATGACTCTTTGTATTACCAGTATATCCCGTGCAGCAATAAGCGACAGCCTGAGGTTTCGACAGTTTTTCACTATCTATGTCATCAACGATCACGACTGATTTGACATAAATGTACCACTAGCAGGACGGCATATGTACACACGTATATGGGCTTTTTGAACTTTACAGTTAATACTAATTAATTTGACACATAATGCAGCAATGGATTCGAAGTACTGATGGTCACCGGGATTGTTGAGTCAATGACATACTAAGCACGCCCGTATTGGTCATGAAATCCCCAACATTTAATTCAGATATGGTCAATCAATCGAATTTATTATTGGATTATCTTTAGAAACTAGATAGCATAAACATTAGATTACCGAGTTGAGTGTATGTTAGAACGGTTTTAGCTGACGCGGCTGAGCCCTACCGGCAAGAAATGAAAAGGTATTCACGTCCGAGTTTGAACCAAGACCATCTCACGTGTTTTTGTAACGTTGATAGTCACACCCTGATTATCGGTGAAACAGTTTTATTAGTTTTGCAATGGTCACTTGTTCAACTCTGGGGCAATTTAGAGAGATGGCTTTCTCAAAAGGGAAAACCTCCATAACGAAGAATTCGACGCGAGTCACAAATTTATGGACATTAAGCTTTCCTGAAGTGG